CTGCCGGATTCGGCGGAGGCGGAGGACTCGACGGCGGAGGGGGAGCCTGGAGTAGAGTAGATACTGCTGGTACTCCATCGTCAGGATGGGCGTCCCGTCCGTCAGGTAGCCGGCCACTCCTCGGTCGGGCACTCCATCGGGACCGGCGGCCGCAATCGCCTGAGCCCAGGTCATCAGCTGGGCGGGCAACTGACTGGGCACCCCGGGATGGGGAGGCGGTCCGCTCGGAGTCGTGGTGGCCTCTGTAGGCGCCTCCACCGGCGTCTCGATCGCCCGGCTCAGCGCTGCCCTGGCAGCGTCTCCTCGACCGTCGCTGCCGTCGCCTCTGCTGTTGCCTCCGCCGGGCGGCTGAGTGGTGGACCCGCGGAACTGGGGAGCTCCCCGTACTGAGAGGATCCCCCTCAGGATGCACATGGAAATCGTTATGAACATCATCACTGCGCCGGACGATGCCGGCAGGATACTGGGAGCGTTGGCTCGGGCGTCGATGCTGAGAAAGACATGAGTGAAGACTCGAGCCAAAAGCAACCACGGACAGTAGATACACGAGAGCCCTTGGGCCCCTGCTGCCGATGAGGTCGAGAGCTCCTCTGCCGATGGAGTCGAGGGCTCTTCCCTGTCCTTCGTTGCTGTTGTCCAAGACCTTAGCATGCCCCAGAGATCCTGAGCCCGTGACCTGTTCGAGGCGGGCCCGCTGAGCCCAACACACGAGGAATAGGCAGACCGTGACTGCGACGATTAAGACGACCGAGTAGCCCACGTGCGGCGATTCCCTCGGATCCCTGCTTGATGTTCTGCTCGAAAACTCCCTTAGCCTGGAACCTGAACGACTTGACCCAGACCCCGAACGTCTCGACTTAGCCCTAAACCGGAGGATGGAGATGATGAGGTGAGGGATGTACTGCGTCACAGTCCCGTCTGCCAGCATCTTCGGAGGCTTCTCATTGCCAAGGGTGAATGACCCCTCCGTCAGAAAAGGATAGCGCTGAAGCACCGACGCTGGGACGGTTGCCGGCTCCTCCAGGGAACGCACAGTCTCTACCATCCTGTGCCCGGAACCCAGGCGTGTCATGGCCACGGTCTTGCGCAGGGTGCCAGAGCGAAGCTTGTTCCTCGGTAAATCAATCACGCTCTCTAGAAAGTCCAGAAGATTAACGCTCAAAATGTGAGGAACAGCCTCTCCGAGCACGGTGGTGTCTATGATGCCAAAGACACCGCCTAGACACAACGGGAAAAGAATAGCACTCACAACCTTGGCCTGGCCTCCAACTCCGTGGGCCCCACGGAGGTGCGTCCTACGTTCGGCAGGAATCTCAACGTACCTGAGGCCGTGGGTCGCGAGCGCCTCGGACTCCCTGTTGAGAGCCTCCACGCCCACCAGATCCGTCCCGGCCCTGGGATCGACCAGGCCCTGGGTCGACGAGGCCGCCAGGAAGATCGAACCTGAGGTGATCTCCTCCTCGACTCCGCGCCACGCCGGTGCGGCCCACAGGTCATTGCCGCTGAACGCCACCCCGTCGAACATGTAGGACGAGGCCTTCCTGACAGGAGTCTTCTTCACGGAGGCCTCCCGCTTGACGGCGTCCTTCTTGGCGCCACTGACGTTGGGGCACTCACGTCCCCAATGGCCCTTCTCGTGGCACAGCTTGCACTTGGTGACCTTCATCAGCTGCTCCTGGGTGAGGAAGCGTCGCCTGCCCGGAGGAGGCCTGCGTCCGACTCCTCCAGCTCCGCCTCCACGCTCGTCACGCTCCCGTCGATGGCGACCCCCGCCTCGTCCGTCTGGCCGGGGAGGAGGAGGAGTCCTGCCACTGCCTCGACCTCGGGAGCCGAAGTACTCTCGGTCACGGCGAGCTGCTCGCTTGAGGTCCTTGTTCTGTTTCCAGGACCTGTTGTTCGTCAGCTCGGCCAGCACCAGCTCGGCGTCGTCTTCCTCGATGTCCATGTCGTCGATCTCCGCGAGGAGGGCCGCCACATCCTCTTCCTCGAGCTCGTCCGACTCGTCGGCCCCCTCATCGTAGTAGTCCTCTTCGTCCTCGACCACCTGGTAGTTGGCGTCCTCCGACCTACCTTCACACCGACCGAGGTTAGGATGGGAAGAGGAAGACTGAAAGGCACCAGCGTCCGAGCGAGCGCCTGGCCCTGGGTCCTCGGACGCTGCTGCCAGCATGCTGCCTGCCCCGGCTTTGCCGGGAAGCAAGCGCTCGGTGCCAGCTGACGAGTCAAGCTGGCGCAGGGCCCTTTTCACGCTACTGTAGGTCAGATCTCCTCGAGTGAGCGTACGCAAGTTCTGCACGCCCTGCTGGGTGAGGTTGGCCCCCTCCTCTAGGAAGAGACCCTTGAGCTTGTCGGACATCCATAGGTCATGGCCCTCCGCATCGATGAACTCTGCTTCACGACGACTGACGTACTGCGTGAGCGTCTCCTTGGAATCGCGGACGGCCTCGTACAACGCTTTTCGTCCTGCTCGTCGTAGCTCATCTCCCTCGCGTTCTCCGATCATCAGGTCCATGCGGCTGAGGAGCGTCTGCAGCCACGACGAGGCAGTGAGCTCCTTGTCCAGGATGTCTTCAAACTTGGCCTGCATCGTCCAGTCGAAGAGTCGCATGAATTTCTCCGACCTTCTCCAGACCGCCACGTCAGTGTTGTCGTTCCAGCGCCGGATGGCCCGGCGCCATTGTCTGTAGTGGGCCCAGCCTGGCCACGCCGGAGGGTCGGAGAAGTCGCCTCGACCTCCGGTCCACTGGCCGGGCCAGCAGCTGTTGTTCCAGCTTGAGCTCCAGTCCTGGTGCTCGTCCCACTTCTGGTCCTCCTTCACGTCGTCCTTGTCGCCGGGTGAGCGCCACTGTCCTGAATCTCCTGCTGCTTCTCCGTTGCTCACCTCGGCTGCTCGTCCGTGTCTGCTGCTGCTCCAGGGGTCGGCGCCAGTGCCGTCCCATGGGTCGGCCGCCGTCGAGGTTGTCTCCTGCGGTGGCCGCTGCTGCTGCTGCTGTTGGCCAAAATGGCCGAGCGCCCGCACTGTCTCTTGGACGGCGGACTGGATTGCCCGAGTGAGCGTGTCCTGATCGATCGTCGCCGCCATGACCGTAGAGCCTGATGCTGCTGCTCCTGCCGTCGACCCCTCAGCTCCTCGGGCTGTCATGACGGCGAAGGCCTCTTCTCGTCCGTCGCCTCCTGGGGCGACTGGCGGCGATTGCTGCTCACCATCCGCGGGCATCTCTCTGCCGTGGATCCCACGCTGCTCAGTGGTCAGAGCGAAGCCTGGCTCCAGGGCGCGCGAGCGCGGAGCGGCCTGGCCGTCACAGCCAGCCTCTCGCACCCATGGCCGCCGGGCCGGAACCCGCTCCGCTACCAACTGTGGCAGCAGGAGAGGGGACATAATGTTTTGCCTTGAGCCACATGTGGCACGGACGTACACAAGATGTATCTCTATCCATCAGTCCCCAGGGTGAAACACCAAAAGCTAAACCTATACGTGAGATAATGGACCCCTGGAACACCCCCCCTCGCCGCCGGCAAAAGATTCCCGCTCCTCGGGACAGTGGGACAGTGGTGGGGACAGTGGGACAGTGGTGGGGGCGGTGGTGGTGGGGACAGTGGTGTGGGGACAGTGGGACAGTGGTGGGGACAATGGGACAGTGGTGGGGACGGTGGTGGTGGTGGGGGCAGTGGTGAGGGGACAGCGGGAAAGTGGTGGGGACAGTGGGGACAGTGGGACAGTGGTGGGGACGGTAGTGGTGGGGACAGTGGTGACGGCGGTGGTGAGCAGTGGGGAGAGTGGTGGGGACAGTGGGGATGGTGGGACAGTGGTGGGGACAGTGGGGAGTGGGACAGCATAGTGGGACAGTGGCGGGGACAGTGGGGACAGTGGGACAGTGGTGGGGACTGGGGACAATGGGGAGTGTGTGACCGTGGTGGGACAATGGTGGGGACAGTGGGCACAGTGAGACACTGGTGGGGGCACTGGTGGGGACAGCGGGGACAATGGTGGGAACAGTGGGGACACTGGGACAATGGTGGGGACAGTGGGACAGTGGTGTGGACGGTGGTTGTGGGACAGTGGTGTGGGGACAGTGGGACAGTGGTGGGGACACGGTGGGACAGTGGTGGGGACGGTGGTGGTGGGGACAGTGGGACAGTGGCGGTGGTGAGGACGGTGGTGGGACAATGGGACAGGGGTGCAGTGGGGACAGTCGTGGGGACAGTGAGGACAGTGGGAACAGTGGGACAGCTCAGTGGGACAGCGGCGGGGACAGTGGGACAGTGGGGACAGTGGGGATAGTGGGACAATGGTGGGGACCGTGGGGAAAGTGGGGAGAGTGGGACCGTGGTGGGAACAGTGGTGGGGACAGTGGGGACACTGGGACAGTGGTGGGGGCACTGGTGGGGACAGTGGGGACGGTGGTGGGAGATGTGGGGACTGGTGGTGGGGACGGTGGTGCTGGGGACAGCGGTGGGGGATGCTGTGCGGACGGTGGTGGGGAATTTTCCGCAGTAAAGTGGCGGTGGATCACGCTCTCTCATAAATCAAGTGCCGTCGGATTTGACTTTCCAATCTTCTGTTGGGTCAGAAATGGAGTGGCCTTGGGGCCTGTGAGTGCCCAGCGAACATCAGAATTCGAGGCTGACCGATCCAGTGGTTTTCGGGCCGTAACTCGGGTCTCCAGCGGCCGTTCGGACGATTTGGGCACCGCCAGAACGCTCTCGGCGAGGCGCAGCTGCTGGAGATCATTCCAGGGCTGGAAAACCGCCGAGAGCCGACGAAAACACCAGAAATTCCCGAACCTCGAGCCTCGTGCCCGAAACGTCACCCCTATCGTTGCCCCTCGCCTCAGCCCTGAGCGGCGGCGGCGCCGCCCACCGCGACGGCGACGGTGGCGACGGCGACGGCGTTGGCGACGACGACGACGACGACGACGACGACGACGACGACGACGACGACGACGATGGCGACGCTCACAGCGGCGGCGGCGACGACCGGTCCCCGAGCGCCCGGCGAG